TACATCAAGAAGAAGATCAGGACCATTGACTCTCCAGAGAAATCCATCAATCTGTTCCACTGTCTGAATGAACTGGGTGATCATTCACTAGTGGAGGAAATACAACACTATCTGACATCTGGAACAATAAAGGAAGCCAAACTCTCTTCATCTCAGTGGTCAGCTGTAGTTTTTGTGTTGTTGACATCAGAAGAGGACCTGAATGAGTTTTGTCTTGATAAATTTGTTAAAGGAAAAAATAAACATGAAAATATGAAAGTTCTTCAGAAGCTGCTGCCTGTGATTAAAGAATCCAGATCAGTTCAGTAAGTATCACTGCAAATAATTACTTCACTGTTAAAACATTAAGAAAATCAAAGTTAAAAGCTCATAAATCTTCAGTGCTGCAGATGTTGTCTAGAGTTTAGTGGTCAGTGGTTTTATATCAAATCAGTGACTCAGTGAGATTCAGAGTCAGAGAAGTGGCATATGAATAAATTATTCAGGTCTGTCAATAATTAAAAATGTCTTTGCAAAAATTGAATTTAATATTTGTAATTTTTAAACCACTGACAATGTGTAATATTTATCTTTCTTAAATGAGGTTCATGTTTTTGTTCTGTGATATTTTAGATCTCAGTCCAGTGATCCATGAAACATATTGATTTGTGCTTTAAGTTTGTACTTTATCTTTAATAATGGATTCACAGCTAAACTGATCTGATCTGAGAGAGTGAAGAGTGTGTCATTGTTCTCTACAGGTTGAGTGATTGTGGCGTCACAGATGAAGGTTGTGCTGCTCTGGCTTCAGCTCTGAGATCAAACCCCTCACAACTGAGAGAACTGAATCTGTCTCTGAATAAACTAGGAGATTCTGGAGTCACGCTGCTGTCTGCTGGACTGGAGGATCCTCACTGTAAACTGGAGATACTGCGGTAAGATCATATTTGACTCTCACACATGAAACACAATGTAAAGTAAGTTTGAAGTGTTGAGTCTCTTTCTGCTGCTGTGAGTTCAGCTGATTGAGCTGTAAATGATTGAACACATGAGCTGCTCCTCAGTAACATGATACTGCAGGACTGAGAGTCACACTGAAATACATACTTGGACATCACAATCAAAATTTCAATATCTTGACTTGAGCTCAACACAGTCAGAACTGAGAAATGAAGAACATGCTGGATTAATTTTTTAATGTTCATCACGTTAATCTTTCTGCACTGACTCTTTTTAAATAATAATGCAATTATGAAATGTTTTTAATCCCACTTAAATTAGACTTTAGATGGTAAATGTCCATGCAAATGTTTGTGCTCTGTGACATTAGATCTCAGTCCAATGATTTATCAAATATGTTGATATTGTGCTTTTAAGTTTGTAATTTCTCTTTAATAATGGATTCACTGCTAAACTGATCTGGGGTGCGTTTCCCGAAAGCAACTATGGTCGCAAGTTCCGTCGTTGCTAATAGAATTCAATGGAACTAACGACCATAGTTAGCTTACGATGGTTTTGGGAAACGCACCCCTGACTGGGATCTGATTATTTTTTTGATTATTAAAACAATGGTTGTATGTGATTGAATGATGTGTAATATCACAGCCTGTGTGTGTGTGGTTTGGTCCGGTGCAGGCGAGCTGGGGAATGTGGAGCTGGAGTCAGGCTAATCTGTGAGAGCAGAGAGACTGGCTCCTGTCTGCATGTCTGCCAGGCCTCTATCTGTGCGTCTCAGTTCACACCCTCCCTCCCTATCTCTACTACAGCACTGGGGCACAGCATGGGATTCAATTGGCCTCCACAGGCCACGGACTACCAGTGTGCACACACACAAATCTCTGCTATATATGGGGAAAGAGCATCCAACATGTATACATCTGTAGCAACAGACATAATCTCACACACTCTGAGATACATACAAAAAACAAATACACAATATGAACTTCACATATGCACACTAACATTGTGTGCTCTATCAAACACATGTGGATTGAAGTGCTGATCGTCATTAAAAAGCCCAATACACAAGCAGGCAGTAGAATGTGAATATAATCACACACACAGA